GTAGTTTAACATCCTGAGTCTGAATATTTGATTAATTATGGAGAACTGAAACAGACGTATTTCAAAACTAAATAAAGATAATATCCAACAAAATAATTTAAACAAGATTTTTGACAAATATTACTGTTATTTAGTTTTGAAATACGTCTGTTTCAAAACTAAATAAAGATAATATCCAACAAAATAATTTAAACAAGATTTYTGACAAATATTACTGTATAAAATATGGAACAAATTGATTTTTGTATTATTTTTTAAACTGTATWAATTTATCTACCTCTTATGGAAGCCCATTTTCAAAGAAAGATGATCCTCTAAGTCATAATTATAAAATACTATGTCAAAATGATGACTTATGAGATGATAAGTCAAAGTTTACAATTATTGTAATTATGACTACGGACCTTTTTTTCTTGAGTGGCAGAAATGGGCTTCCATATTTTATCATTTCATTTTCATTTTCTTTTTATTCAGTTCCTTATTGTTTATTTAATTATAATTTTAGAGATATTAAAGTATTGTTTATTCATTTTTCCCTTTAATTATGAAGCAGTACTGTGTTTATCCAGCCTGAATGAAGACTCGTGTCCTTCAGCTGGTATTTGTGTCTCTTTTCAGTGATTTGATTTGGCACGTGACCTTGGCATCTTTTATACGTTTGTTAAAATTTTAACTACAATCATCGCTTGAAGGCTCAGTCGCAGCTACTGATCTGAACATTTGAACTATTACTGAAAATAACAACTCTAATCTGCTAAATAAATGATCAGTCAGGAAAAGAACGAGTTTCTCCTGAAAGATGGCGTTTCAAATTTAGTTGGCAGAAATGCTGATCAGTTTGTAATCTGTAATCCCCTCTTCTTCCAGTAGGATTCCCATGAGTTCTTCAGAAAGCAATGAATACATTTTTCGATCCATTTACAAGATATGATTTGTAGTTTGATTATCATGAACATACCTGTAAATCTAGTTATTTTCTGCATTTTAATACTGTTGTTTCTACAACCCCAATCCCAGTGAAGTTGGAATGATGTGCACAACGTAAATAGAAACAGAATACAATGATTTGCAAATCCTTTTCAACCTATATTCAATTGAATATCCTACAAAGACTAGATCAGAGGAGCCCAAAGTGGGGCCCGCGGGCCAAATTTGGCCCGC